GAATTTCATGCATCGGGCCTCTAGTAGATATATAAAAGGCTAAGTGACCGGCCGACTGGCCAACCAGCCAGTCACTATGACACACACTGACCACCAGGGGGCAGATGCTCAATGCAGGAGCAGAAACCATAGGCATGGAAATATGGAACAGACCGATGAATCTCAGAGGGAAGGGGGAGGGGAGAGGGTGGGAAGAGATTAACTAAAGATCTTATATGCATACTAGAGGCCCAGTGCACCAGTGGGGTCCCGCAGCCTGGCCTGTTGGGATCGGGCCCTCTCGCAATCTGGGATCCCTCGGCGGATGTCGGAGAGCTGGTTTCAGCCCGATCCCCGCAGCCCAGGCTGAGGGACCCCACTGGTGCACAGATGGGCCTCTAGTGTTATAATAATTATCAAAGATGAAAAAAGCAATTATCTAGTAAAGATGGAAATTTGAGAGTTAGATGTGTTTTTACTTTTAAAAAATCTTCAACATCATGTTTTTTATTTATATAGCTTCTAATATCCTACTACTTGTGATTATAATTCACAGAGGTAAAGTGGGGCTAATAAAAATAAATGAACAGATGTTAAAAAGGAAATTATTTAGCAGTTTATTAAATAAGAGTAGCTCATAGTTTATTGGAACTCTGAAATTACATAACAGCATTACATATGTGTGATATATACTTTAAAGATATATGTACCTTTTGTATATATACATGTGATTTTTTTTCTAGTAAAATTTTTTTATTATGGAAAAATGTGCAGCATATTCAAAAGTAGAGCAGTGTACTGAGAACCCGTATATGTATCACCCAACCTAAAATATTGTGAATGTGTAGCTAATCTAGTTATTACCTCTTTATTCTTTATTACCATTTCTCCAGAACTAGTTTTTAAACAATTTTATTAATAAACACATCAGTTATTATAGTTACTTAACGCAGGAACTATTACTGTATTTTACTACAAATGCTATAATCTTTATAGCTATTTGATGTTGAGATGTTAACTGTAAATATTTATTTAAATTCATGGTGATCTTTGGTTCATCATATCAGGTTATAAATTAACCAGATTATCAGGTTCAGATTCAGGCAGATAGTCTTCCAAATTGTTCCTGGCTTCTTCAGAAGGTCAAGACTGTTCGAATGCTGTTAATAATTATATTAAAAAAATCAGTACAACTTTTATGATAAATTTAACCAAAACTCACAAATAATTTTTGTTTTATCCTTTTGGGATTTGATTTAATCTTTCTTTATAGACACACAATTTGGTAAGCCTAATTTCTTTTATCTTGTTATCCTCCTTTATTCCTGGCACTAATAAAACTTTATATATGATGCCAATAAGCTGGGAGAGAATTGGGGACCTCACTTGCCCTGGGTGAGGACTTGGCTGCCTAGTGGTGCTGTGAGAAGTAGAGCATGCTGTGTTGTAGTGACCTTTTCATCTTGGAATAATCCTGTAGCCGAGGGCAAATTTGGCATCAAAAGGAGGTGGTTGGTGTGTTGGGATGCTACTTTCTTTTTTTTTTTTAACATTTTAAAAAAATATATATTTCATTGATTTTTTTACAGAGAGGAAGGGAGAGGGATA